AAAAAAAAAAAAAAAAAGGTTTCTGGGTATTTATTCACAGTTCTAAAAGCTAGTTATTTTTCTTTTTGTCTAACCCAGGGTGTCAGTGTGGAGGCAGTTGATCCAGTGTTCCAAGCCAAAATGTTAGATATGTTGAAGCAGACAGGAAGGTAAGTATTCTAACTAATTTTATAAAGGAATAATGGGAAGTAGTTTTAGAAATGTGTTTCAAAAATCTGGATGTTTATGACTATCATACCTGGAAAAAAAAAGCCATGTACTTAATGTAAATTATCACTGTCAGTCCTGTGTACTACCTATCTAGTATCTCTTTCTTTTAGAATCAGAGAAATTTGCCAATGAGAAAACTGCCTCATGTTAAAATTCTCAACCATCACATAGTAAGCTTGGGCTGCAGCTTCCCTGTTCAGCATATGGAGTTACTGTCTGGTCATTTATAATTGAAAGAGCTTGTATGTTCCATATATTGGAGAGTTGGGACTAAATAAGATTCTGGCTATTTAATTATATTAGGCATATGATTTTTAAAGACAGAGAAAGTAGAATTTAGATATTTTTCAAGTTTTTCCCCAGATTAAATCTCTCAATAGTTGTCATTCTCTTGCTCAAATTCTTCTACTGTGGAAGAAACTTCAAAATTAATGTTAGCAAAAGGCTCAGCAGCTGAGCAGAACAGTGCAAATTGGTTTTTGACTGAGTTCCTAGTTCTACTGCTGGTTTAATTGATATTTAATCCTTTCACAACAGTGAATCCTGGTGTCCATTGTTAACAATGTACTCTGCCTGGAAAATCCTATTCCCAGAGCTAAGGAGTTAAAGAGTAGATATTTACTTGAATGCTGAAAGGGTAAAAACTGGCTCAGAGAAAGTGTGGTAACAAGGTGAAAAACTGAAAGCCGTATCTACCACTGCTAATGTGCATCTCTTAATGATAGCACTCCTTTGTCATGCTTATTCATTTCCATGTTTTCTGGATAATATGGTGTATGATTTCAATGTTTCTAATGGTGCTTTTTCACACCTGTGTGTTTTTCATCTCTTCTTCATTTATACCCTGTTAGTGTGTTGTTTCTTTTCATAGCATACATGTGTATTACTTGTTCTGTTCTGAACTGCTGAATGCCCTCTTTGTTTCAGGCCTGAGATGGTTGTTGGTTGGTATCACAGTCACCCTGGCTTTGGTTGTTGGCTTTCTGGTGTGGATATCAACACTCAGCAGAGCTTTGAAGCCTTGTCGGAGAGAGCTGTGGCAGTGGTTGTGGATCCCATTCAGAGTGTAAAAGGAAAGGTAGAGTAGATTCTATCTTTATTAGCACCTACTGCCACATTCTGTTTACAGATACATTAGATTAAAATTTCTTTTGTTTAGAGCAGGATTTGTACACACACAGGAAAAAAAAAAAAACCCTGTGTATTTAAAAACACAAACAAAAAACTGTACAAGTCGAAAAATGTGTCTTGGTATAATTAGCAATATAACTATTTGGAGATTTGTTTCTACTTTAATCAGCTAAAATTGTCTAATCATACATGTTTATTTTTTAATTTAATTTTATTTCATAGATTTAGGAACATTAAACCACATAAAAGCCTGCTATGCACATTTTATTATTATTTTAGTAAACATTGTTTTATCTTCCTTTATTTTAAAATGGTGAATTTGGGATTGGCACAACATTTTATGTCTCTAGTTAAAGACTCTCTGTTTTGCAGACATTGTATAGAACATATTCTGGAGTTGGATGTTCCAAATGTTTTAGACAATGAAAACTTGACCCAAAGACTTGGTATCAGCCATTCGCATTTTTGGAGTGAGGACGCAGATGAATGATTAAATATGCTAAATGATTCAGAAAAGAGATTAACTTGCAAAGCATATTGGGTTATAGTTGTTCTTTGTTGAAATCTTTTGTTCTTGTTTAGTTCTTTTTTCCCCCCCTTCGTTCTCTCTTTCTTTCTTTCTTTTTTTTATTTCTTTCTTTCTAGCCCCATATGCCATTTTCCTATTTCCTGCCTCATGACAGCAGGGAGCAGCTCTATTATCACCTTCACAGAGCTGTCTGCAAATGTGAGAGGCAATTCGATTTTGCTCAACCACAGGGAGAGTGGATTAGAAAAACTACAGAACATACAGAAATTGGCTAGGTGGTTACTGCTTTAAAATACTGCTGAGGTGTCTTGTTTGAGCATGTACTTCCATTGTAGTGTAGAATAATTGTTAAAATCACAATACATTTATGGAATCCTTTTTATGCAGCTTTTACAAATAATTTTTAGAGCACTTAAAAATAAATATTAGCTTGCTATCTATCAGACCTGGAATTTGCTAGCATTGCAGATTACATTTATATCTGCTCACCAGCTCAAACAAACTAAATATGGCTATTAAACGTGGAGTTTTTATCTGTTTTGAATTTGAAGTTGAACACTTTCTGACATCCTATCATTATGACGAATAAAAATTGAGGTCTTCCCTAAATCATGATCCTATTAGATGTGATTTAGTTTTTCAGAGGTGGAAACTAGCCACAAAAACAATAATAATAGAAACCAATGTAGTAGATAATTCAAAGAGGATCACTTCTGATGCTTGCTGTATACCTGTATTTCAGTTTATTCTTTTTAAAACTATATTGTTACTTAACTAATACAGATAAAAGGAGTTAAATCCTTGAATTTTGTCAGTTTTATGAATTAAAATACAGTATGATACTTCCCTAAGTTTAATTCTCTGATACGGTACCTTTTTAATAACTCACAATTAACTCATTTAAGTAATAATTATTATTTTAGAAATATAACAGTTATCCAGTTAAGTACCCCCACCACAATATTTACAAAAGATAATTGAAGCTTAATTTTAAGTATAATTAGAGTTCTGTCTTGTTTATAGTATCTTGATGTCAGTTTTAGTTTCTAAACCTAGTTAAGGTATTATATAACATTGGTATTTGCATTGTTTATTTCTGATTAATCATAATTCATGTTAAAAGAATGACTTTCATTAAAACACTTGCATGACAGGACTGTTGTCATATGGTAAATGTAGTTATTTTTTCAAAATAATATATCTAAAATTACTTTATAAAATCATATGTATCATTGTCTAGTTTTACATGTCATAAAAAATATTTTTGAAAAATAGAGTATAAGTATCTGTCATCGATGATTCACATCACTTCTTGCACCCAACATAGATTCGTATAGTTAATATTACCTGAAATAAGGATCCAGTTCTTTCTCAATAGTGTAACTTCATCTGTAGGATGTCTGAGTTTGGTTATAATTTATGGTTCTTTTAGTGTCAAGACTTCTCAAAACTGTAAGCCAAACTTACGTATATAAACTTAAAAAAAAACAAGAGTAACATAGGATTCTCCCTCTCCCCTTCCCTGCATGTGATTTATCAAAGCTGTCAAAATATTTAGCAAAACAATGATTAGATCAAGAGTTAAAATGACAATCTATATATAAATTATTCACATTGAGTCTCTGTTCACTTAATACCTCTTTCCTGTATATTTTATATTTTCATTTTCATAAATCCCAATATTATCTGTTTTTGAGTGATGAGGTAATTACTAATTCTTTGTAGTCTCATTAATTCATAATGTTTGATTTCCTTTTATAGTGACTTGACTGTATATTTATGGAATTATTGCTGTGTGCCAGGTATTGTGGTGATAAATTTTCAACTTGTCTCATGTATTCTTTAGTAATTCTGGGGATACAGGCAGTATTATTACTCCATTTTATCAATGAAAAGGTAAAAAAAAAATTAGGGTCAAAGAGATTACCCAAAATCATAGCATTATTTTTTAATTTTTATTTTGTAATGTTTATTTTTGAGAGAGAGAGAGAGAGAGAGAGAGAGTGCAAGTGGGGAGGTGGGGGCAGAGAGAGAGAGAGAGAGAGAGAGAGAGCGAGAGAGAGAGGGAGATACAGAATCCAAAATAGCTGTCAGCACAGCTCTGAGATGTTAGCACAGAGCCTAACGCAGGGCTCGAACTCACGAACTGTGAGTTCATGACCTGAGCTGAAGTCAGATACTTAACCAACTGAGCCACCCAGGCGCCCCCAAAATCATAGCATTATTAAGCAGCAGAACAAGGATACAAATCAGGTCTATAAAATTTCAGAGCTCAAACTGTTTTAATGGCTCTTTAATATTAGACAGTTACGAACTATATAATTAGAGTAACACAGAATTGGAAAATGAGTACCAGAGGTCATTACCACACCCTTTCTTAACTTATTTGGATAGGTATCACTTCCCTCAGTGTAAGTCAGGGTAAGGGGCTACACATTTTGTCTAAGTTCTCAATAGTTCCCTGTACTATTTATAGTAGTTATTTATTAATTGATTTTTCTTATACAGTATCCTGTTAATTAAAAAAAAAAAGACAATTTAGACAGACCTGTTCCTGTCAGCTTTTGCGACATCCCTAGGGCCAAACATTGAGACCTACGTAAATAATAAAATACACTATATGATAAAGAATCCACAGTATTCTGTATATTATGTAATCCTGTAAATGTTTAAAAATGATACAGATAGAAAATGTTAATAACCTGCATAATTTAAATGGAGAGTAAGCTATAGAAATTACTGGTGAGTCTCACTCTAAACTTCTCAGTGAAATAGTTAAAAATCTGTTTTAGTTTATTTGTAAAATACGCATATTCAGATATTCTAAACTTCAGTTCTCAAGTAATAAAGTGACAGCCTCTTGCTTAAAGTTTTGTTGTCTTGAATATATAGCCCACAACTGGACTTGATCCAGCAGCAAATTTCGAAGTTGTAACATGATTATACTGCGTCCTTAGGGCAAAAAGAATGATGACTGTACAAAATCATAAAACTACCATGCAACTATTACTTCTTTTGAGAACCTATTTCCTTATCACAATTCCTATCAGTAAAAATGTTCAGATGTTACCTGCTGTTAACAATCTCCATGTTTTGTTTCCTATTTTGAAAACAGTAAAAGAGAAAAAAAACCCTCATAACCCTTTAGTCCATATAAATCTTCACACTGGCTGGGTTTTCTTGAGAAATTTCTGTTTACTCTGATCAGAAATCCTGTTTATCAGCAGGGATTTCTTAAGTACATCTGATGTGCCTGTGTGCTAATGATTCTAAAAAATGTCTTTTTGTGAAGATAAGTCATATACATTTAGTGTCACTAGTGAGCCAGATAACATTCTGCCAATTATATGCTTGATAACCCTATGTTGCATACTGGTAGAATACAAATTATACTGATACTGCTTTGTTTCTGTAACTAAGTATTAAGGTGGTTGCTAGAAATAATCCAGCAGATACTTATTTGGAACCTTGTATGTGCCAATATGCAATAAAGTAGTACTTGCATAGCAAACATAGTAAATGGAAATTAAATTAGAAAGAAATTGGTATGGCTGCACAAAGTAAATGAAGCTTGGACTGAGTCTTGATAGCACATTACTCAGAAAAGATAAGTTTGTACCTTCTGGAGGAGAATGTAGAAACAGTTCTATTCCAGATTGTATACCTAGCCTCTTTGTTCATGCTTTTTCACGGATACGTTAGAATGTAAAATGAACAGTTTTTGATGATGTTGTTTTTAGTCAGCATTTTATAAAAAAGATAGGACTTTGAAGAATAAACGCAAATATTGGAGGAAAGAATTAAGGAATGAACATAAGAGCTTACCTTTTATTTTCAAGAGATTTAGAAGGTTTTGTCTTTTTCAGGGTAAGGAGGGCAAATATTTTACTTATCCAGAAATTTTGTATTAGAAGTTTTAAGATGGTGGAGATTTTAAACTACCCAAAAATAGTTTTGTTTTAGCGTTTTCTTCTTATTGTCATAAAGGCAGGGCATAGAGTAATGAAGAGCATGGGCTTTGGGATCAGGCCTGCATTAGAATCCCATTTTTATCTCTTTATCTCCTCTCTGTAGTATGACTTTGAGCAAGTTGCCGAATCTAGAACTTCAGTTGTCTCATCTATAAAACAGGGGTTTTGGTACCTGTCTCATAGTATTATGAAATGACCTATGTAATGAGTAGGGTGTGCATGCCATACAGGAGATGTGCAGTAAGTGACATTATATTCTGAAGGTTAAAATAATTGGTACTTTTTAAAGAGATTTACAACTAGCATATTTAAAAATATGGAATGTGAATATTTCTTCTTTTTTTTTTTTTTTTCAACGTTTATTTATTTTTGGGATAGAGAGAGACAGAGCATGAACGGGGGAGGGGCAGAGAGAGAGGGAGACGCAGAATCGGAAACAGGCTCCAG